ATGCCCGACGTACTGCACAGGTAGCGCAACACCCTCTTAGCTGCATCCATGTGCTCTGGTCGGTGTCTCCCAGGAGCAACATAGCGTGCCAAGATGCTAAGAGGGTATGCCAGGTCAGGTCGAGTGCAGGTCATAAGGTACATGAGGCAGCCCACAAGCTCTGGGTACGGGCCACTCGGCTCTACGGACTCATCCGAAGGCAGAGCTGAGAGCGAGTGGCAAGTAGATAGAGGAGTGGCCTGAGGCGAGGAGTACGTGAAGTTGAAGCGCTGAAGGACTTGCTGCACCATGTGTGACTGAGTCAAGGTAATGGTGCGACGTGCTCTGTCCCAGGTGATCTGCAAGCCAAGATAGCTGCGCAGCTCACCCAGGTCTGTGCACGTGTGTCTCTTCTGCAGCTCCGACTTCACGTGGGCCACTCCAGTAGTGTCAGCAGTAGCAAAGACGAGGTCGTCGACGTACACGAGGATGTAGAACGGCGGCAGAGTAGTGTCGGTGCGGAGAAACAGCGACGGGTCAGCAGTGGAAGGAGCAAACCTAAGAGCCGCAAGCGTAGTCCTCAGTGTGTCGTGCCACTCACGGGGCGCCTGGCAGAACCCGTAGACTGGCCGCCGGAGGCTCCACTGGGTACCAGGAGGAAACGACCAAGTGAAACCAGGTGGGCGGCGCAGCCAGATCTCCTCGTGCAGGCTGCCCTGTAGGAAGGCTATGCTGAAGTCAAGAGAGTGCAGCTCGTAGTCACGCTGAGCAGCGACGTGCAGCAGTACCCGAAGAGTGGTCATCTTCGGGGTGGGAGAGAAGGTCTGAAAGTAGTCAACTCCCTGCGGCTGACTGAAGCCTCGAGCCACGTAACGCGCCTTGAAGACAGGCGAAGAACCCGGCGGCCGCTTCACCCTGAAAATCCACATGCCATCGACAATGTTCGCCCCAGGTGGGGGAACCTCGTCGACGTAGGTGCCTGTGGACTTCCAGGAAGCCATCTCTGCGTCCATGGCTGTCTGCCACTGAGAGGAGTAGGGACCCTCTATCGCCTCTACGTAAGAGCGCGGGGTCGGGATGTCTGGTGCATCCGGGTCTCCCTCAGGGGCAAGCAGCATGGACACGAGATGAGGTAAAGCAGCAGCAAAACACTGGAACTCCTCCTGCTTGTCCTCAAGGACGTCCGTGCTAAGAGCACACTCACCCCCGACGGACGGAGGACAGATAGACGCAGACTCGGCAATAAGACTAGCGGCGTAGTCTAGACGACAGTGAGCAGCAAAGTCGACAAGCTTAGCAACTAAGGCAGACGCAGCAGTGGACTCAAAGGAAGGGTCAGTGACAACAGTGGCCAGGAGACGCGTGACAGTAGGACTAGCAGCACGATGGGAGTCAGACTCCGGGTCAGCAAGTGCAGGAAGAGAGGACTCAGGAGCAGACGGCAGAGGGACACGCTGCGGAGCAGAGGAAGGACGCAGAGCCATCTAGTGTGTGCCAGTCACAGGAGGAGGACGCTGACACGAACCACGACGACCAATGCGAGCAGCACAAACAGGTGACGCAGGACGAGACTCAGGCTCACGACGCTCCGTAAGACCTCCTGTCGGACCAGTGTAAGGAGAAGGAGCAGGCAGTGGGGAGGCCGGCTGTAACTGTGACTCGGATTGGACAGGCTGTGGACACTCTAAGGAAGGAGCAGGACCAGTAGAAGGCGGGAGACCAAGAACCTGCTCAAGGAGCGGAACGAAGTACGGCCGCGACCGCGCAGCGCCTCCAGAACCAGCAGGAACAGCACCAGCACCCTCAGCGCCAGCTCCAACTCCAGTGGCACCACCAGCTCCACCAGCACCTCCAGCAGCTCCAGTGGCGCCAACTCCAGCACCCCCAGGAGCACCGGCTCCAGCAGCACCTCCAACTCCAGCACCTCCAGGACCACTAGAAGCCCCAGCAGCACCAGCAGCGCCAGGGCCAGCACCTCCAGTAGCACCGGGTCCAGTAGTACCGCCAGCTCCAGCCCCAGCAGCACCACCAGGCCTAGCAGCTCTAGTACCTCCAGTACGAGCACCTTCGGGACCAGTGGCTCCAGAACCCCCAGCAGCTTCAGCAGAAGCAGGACCTCCAGCGCCCGTAGTACCACCAGCTCCAGCAGCACGGCTCCAGCGGCGAGCAAACCACTCGCGCAGCTGCTGTGGAGAGAGTGGCTCCCGCCGGGACGAAGCACCCAAAGGACCTCCAGGCGCAGCACCTCCAGACTCCACACGCGTAGGCTCAGCACCGCGCCGCATTGGCATGGTCATGGACGTCGCTCGTACGTCCATGATCCATGCGGCTGCTCCCCATTTTCTGTGGCTGTTCGCGGTTCAGTACGCTGCGCTTCAGATCAACCTTCAGCCTCGTGTCTCCTTGCCGAAGACCACACCTACTCTGCGGTGGACGGGGAAGGTTGGCGATGCGTCTGTGTTCCGTGTCTGGGGATCTCAAGCTTTTGTCCGCGATGCTTCCGCGGACAAGCTGTCCTCCCGTGCCGTGTCCTATGGGGATGGCGATGGGAGGTAGAGAGTCTGCTAAACTCTTACCTTGCTGTGCTTCCTGATATTATGCACCAGGCTGACCTTGGCTTTTTTGAGCACATAGTTGACAGTATGAATGTGGTCTGGGATTTGACTAAGTGCAGGCAGCATCAATGTACGTGATGCCAACAGTCCTTTCCTTGGCGTGCAGGATATCGAAACATAAAAAACTGACCAATTATACCCATGACTGCTGCCAACGCATATTCTGCAGGGAAGGCCGCTTCGGTACTTGCGTGATTGACGGAAAACACGCTCCGACAAATTTCGGGAATGAAGGGGGGGGGGGGGGGGGGGTGCCCTGTACGCCCTTAAGGGTAATCTTCGCTAAGGGAAAATTTACCCCAGAGCATCAGTGTGGCCTAAATCGTTTCACTGTCAAATCAGTGTAACACTAAGTTAAAAAAAAAAATACCCAAACACATCAATGTAGGCCCTAAATTTCACCATTCTCATCAGTATAGCAATGTGATTTACACTGATAAAATAGGCCCTGTTTTCATACTAAAATCGAGAATCACTTTGTATGTGATACATTCGACTACAAAATCCAGAGAGCTCCTCTCCTAGATTCCAAGAGCACTACCTAGCACATAAACGCCTATATCTCGCTCGATACTTAGGTGATCGAGGTGATCTACGGCTAGTTGGAAAGCTAACAGAGTGCTTTAGTTCAAATCCCAGTTCCTGTCAACTTGAGGAGAGTCCTCTACAACAATACTCTCAGCATCTCAGCCAGTCGGCACGAGCAGCCCCAGCAGCAGATTAAAAAGCAGCTGCTCCCACGTGTCCACAGGTCCCGGGTGGCAGTAGTGCAGGCAGTCCCACCGCCCCACATGCCCATCAGCCCGCCACACAGTCGAAGCATTCACATCCATGTACACCCCCCCCACGCCCTCCACCAACCCACGCCCCACGACCAAAGCCACAAGGCTTCTCCAGTGCCACCCGTACTTGGCATTTGCTAGCCAGTGCACTCCTAGCCACCACTGCTAGTAGGCACGAGCAGCCCCAGCAGCATATTAAATAGCAGCTGCACCCAGGTATCCACTGGCCCTGGGTGGCAGTAGTGCAGGCAGTCCCAGCGCCCCACATGCCCATCGGGTCGCCACACAGTCGACACATTCACATCCATGTACACCCCCCCCACGCCCTCCACCACCCTCCGCGTGTCTTCAAGGCGCGTTACGTTGCACGAGGCTTCAGTCAGCGACAGGGAGCTGACTTCTTCCAGAACTTCTCCCCTACCCCGAAGATGACCACTCTTCGGGTGTTGCTGCACGTCGCCGCTCAGCGTGACTACGAGCTACACTCTCTTGACTTCAGCACAGCCTTCCTACAGGGCAGCCTCCACGAGGAGATCTGGCTGCGCCGCCCACCTGGCTTCACTGGGTCGTTTCCTGCTGGTACCCAGTGGAGCCTCCGGCGGCCAGTCTACGGTCTCTGCCAGGCATCCCGTGAGTGGCACGACACACTGAGGACGACTCTTGCTGCTCTTGGGTTTGCTCCTTCCACTGCTGATCCGTCGCTGTTTCTTCGCACTGACACCACTCTGCCGCCGTTCTATGTTCTCGTGTACGTAGACGACTTAGTCTTTGCTACTGCTGACACTGAGGCACTCGCCCACGTGAATTCCGAGCTGCAGAAGAGACACACGTGCACAGACCTGGGAGAGCTGACAAGCTATCTTGGCTTGTGGATCACCCGGGACAAAGCACAGCGCACCATTACCTTGACTCAGTCACACATGGTGCAGCAGGTCCTTCAACACTTCGGCTTCACGTACTCCTCGCCACAGTCCACTCCTCTTCCTACCGGTCACTCGCTCTCAGCTCCACCTTCGGACGAGTCCGTAGAGCCGAGTGGCCCGTACCCAGAGCTTGTGGGCTGCCTCATGTACCTGATGACCTGCACTCGTCCTGACCCTCCACCTCCCCTCGTTCTCTACGAACTTGGTGAGCGGAGCTGACCTCCAGGACGCGTGGGTTGACCAGTTCACCCCTGGAGGTCAGCGTGTGACCCACTGCACTTGCTCTCGGACGGGCCGCCACCTGGCCACGTTCACCCGTCGGCCAGGGTGCTAATGTAGTCATTCCTTTGTTCACTATTCTGACAAACCTTGCTTGCATCTGGCTGTGAGGAGATGATTAGGATTCTGTAAGAAAGCAGAGTTGCCGATCAATGTAGTTAACGGTAATTCGGCTGTTAAGTACACAGAAATATTCAACACTAAGTGCAACTGGTTACAGAGGTCTTCTTTGTGGCATTCTGACTGCCCATGCTCGAATTTCCCACCTTGCATTTTCTTTTGCCCTTTCCAATCCTGTTGGTATGACCCACCACGCTACATCTCAACAGCTTTCACTTGCTTTCAGGACCTGCTCCCTGCCAGCCACCTTCCCTCGGTCTACATTCACGAGCGTCGTGTCTCAATGCACTTTCTCCAACCAATCACGCTACGTTGACGTGGTGCCGGCTGGCAATCGATGCTGCAGAGTCGCCAAAGCCCAGCATCTTGTTCACGGCGCTTATGTAAGCGCGGGCAGATGACACCACAATGTCCTCATCAGCACCGCTGCCACTGGAGATGTTTAGCAGAGAGAGATTTGGGAGCAACGACACGAGCAAGAGAAAACCCGAATCATGACAACTCGAATGTGACACCCTTCAGAAACAAATATAGGCCAGGGGTTGCATGCCAGTCAAAAGAATAAGGACGTAGGCCCTCTTACCTGTAGGACTCCTCACCTGAAGGCCCTCCCACCTCAACCTGCCCTCCTCGCACCGGAAGGTCCTCTCGATGTTGCCGTGCTGCGAGTGCGTAGCTGTGTGCGCATCACCCGTGGAGCGGATGGCAACCCCAAACCTCCTGTTTCCTCTCCTCAACCTCCTCTCCCCTCACCTCAACTACCCCTGACCGCACCTGAAGGTCCTCTCAATGCTGCCATGCTGTGAGTGCGTGGCCATGTGCGCATCCCCCGTGGAGCGGATGGCAACACGCGTGCAGGCCAGGGCGTCAATGCCCTCCGTGACCGAGTTGAGCGAGTACTCTGTGAGCTCCACGTTCAGCTGGGAGGAGGGGGGGGCACAGGTGGGGTTCAATGGTACATGGGGGAAAATGAGGGGGCACTCGCAACCCTCATGCAGGCTAGGGCGTCGATGCCCTCCGTGACTTAGTTGAGCGAGTACTCTGTGAGCTACACGTTCAGCTGGCGTGGGTCAGGGGTAGTGGATGGGGGCAGAGGCAGAGCATGGGGAGTAGGGAGGGAAGCAATTACAAAGCGAGTGCAGGCGAGAGCGTCGATGCCTTGGATCGACAACCGATGAGAGGGAGTACTCTGTGAGCTCCACGTTGCTGTTGATGGCCTTGTTCACGGCGTCCACAGGCCCTGTGCCCATGGCCGCCTGGATCTGACATCAATCGCATGCACCCACTTTCACCCACTTTCACCCACTTTCACCCACTTTCACCCACTTGCACCCAGTTTCACCAAGTTGCACCCAGCCACACGCATCCCGCAGTCAACTCACATCAACAATGTTGTTGATGGCCTTGTAAACGGCATCCACCGGCCCCGTGCCCATGGCCGCCTGGATCTGCTCCACCCCATCAGGTCCCACCAGCTTCACAGTCGCCGTGGGCAACCCCATGGTGCCACACACCACCTGCGGTTTAAAAGTAGGAGGACGACAATGCAAGGCTGCATAAGTGTGTGCAGCAGCAAGACATGAAGGCCATGTGGGTGGGTGGGACATCGCAAAGAAACCAATCTGCTCCACACCGTCGGGCCCCACCAGATTCACTGTGGCTGTGGGCAGCCCCATGGTGCCACAAACCACCTGAGGGTAAGGTTGTGAGCATGAGGATGTGAGTTTGCAGGCGAGCAGGTGAAAGGCATGCAAGTGGGACATGCAAGTGGGACATGCAAGTGGGACATCACAGAGGAAGCACTCTGCTCTGCTCCATCTGGCCCCACCAGCTTCACTGCCGCTGTGGGCAGCCCCATGGCTTCACACACCACCTGTCGCTCAATCCAAGGTTGTCGATGTGTAGAAACAACAACGCTGGCATTGCTGAGCAGCGCATACAACACCGGTGCGCAACGCAAACAAGGCCATGGTCTGCATTCATACCAGGAAGCTTGACCATTTGCATAATCGCCTCAGTGCTCAGAGAAAGTCACCTGGCCTTGGGAAGTCACCTGGCCTTGGGAAGTCACCTGTAGGTCAGTGAGCTCCCAGATGGTCTTGGGCTGGAACACCGAGTCAGAGAGGCCAGTACTCATCCTGTGCCAGATGCTTCTAAAACACCAACAGGGCCCTGATTCAAGCTCACCTGCAGGTCGGTGAGCTCCCAGATGGTCTTGGGCTGGAACACCGAGTCGGACACAAGAGCCTCCACGTCCCCATCGGTGACAATCTTCTTCTTGTCCGCCACCGCTTTGAACCGCTTGAACACCTCATCCAACTCCGCGCTGTCAAAGTCGTACCCCATCTGAAGGGAGAAGAAGGGGAGTGTAGTGAAAGAACTTTCAGCACCTCAAGGGAGGGAGGGAGGGAGGGAGGGGGTATCTGTCACCGCTTTGAACCGCTTAAACACCCAGTCCAACTCCGTGTTCTCCAAGTCATTCCCGATCTGAGACGGGGAGAAAGAGTGGGGAGTGAAAGAGGGCAAGAGGCATATGAGAAGGCAGAAACGAGGTGTCTTCTCCCCGCAGAAATGGTTTAAAATTTTTAGGCGCCTCAAGAAGAGGCATGTGAGATAGGGGAATTGAGGTGTCTGCTCACCCTAGAAATGGTTCAATAAACGGCTGAAATGAGGGGTGCCAACGGTAGGGCGGGGAAGAGCAGCTGCTGAGAAGCACTTTGCCTTCTCCCACTCGTCATTTCCCCCCCACCCACCCTTCCTTCATCCCCTCATTGCACCTGCTGCAGGCGGGTCTTGCGAGCATGCTGGCCGCTGTGCTTGCCCAGCAAGGTGACCTCTGAGTCGACTCAAAAACAACCCTGCTTCCCTTCCTCCCCTCATCCCACTCATCGCACCTGCTGCAGGCGGGTCTTAAGTGCGTGCCGGCCACTGTGCTTGCCCAGCACAATGCCTGCCGCGTCAGTGCGCACGATGCCCACGTCCTCTGGCGCCATGATCTCGTACGTGCCCTTGTACTTGAGCATGCCGTCCTGACGATTGGGGGAGGTGGGGTGGGGAGGGGGGGAATGAGTGGAAGGAACAACAGAGATCGTCCTCTGGCGCCATGATCTCGTACGTGCCCTTGTACTTGAGCATGCCGTCCTGACGATTGGGGGAGGTGGGGTGGGGAGAGGGGGAATGAGTGGAAGGAACAACAGAGATCGTCCTCTGGCGCCATGATCTCGTACGTGCCCTTGTACTTGAGCATGCCGTCCTGACGATTGGGGGAGGTGGGGTGGGGAGGGGGGGAATGAGTGGAAGGAACAACAGAGGTCGTCCTCTGGCGCCATGATCTCGTACGTGCCCTTGTACTTGAGCATGCCGTCCTGACGATTGGGGGAGGTGGGGTGGGGAGAGGGGGAATGAGTGGAAGGAACAACAGAGATCGTCCTCTGGCGCCATGATCTCGTACGTGCCCTTGTACTTGAGCATGCCGTCCTGACGATTGGGGGAGGTGGGGTGGGGAGGGGGGGAATGAGTGGAAGGAACAACAGAGATCGTCCTCTGGCGCCATGATCTCGTACGTGCCCTTGTACTTGAGCATGCCGTCCTGACGATTGGGGGAGGTGGGGTGGGGAGAGGGGGAATGAGTGGAAGGAACAACAGAGATCGTCCTCTGGCGCCATGATCTCGTACGTGCCCTTGTACTTGAGCATGCCGTCCTGTTGGGGAGTGGGCGGGGGGAAGGGTGGGGGAGGAAGGAGGGGAGGAGATGGGGGAGTGGATGAGTGGGATTAATCACTTCGCCTCATCTGGCGCCACGAACAACAATGTGAGATCCCAGAAGGACATCCAAGTGGGGAGAGCAACAAAAAAACGAAGAACATTCCAACCAAGTCACCTACCAAAGCTGGCATTTCCCTCCTTCCAACACTTCACTGCCTCACCTGGTGGATGCCACTCTCATGCGCAAAGGCATTGGCGCCCACAATGGCCTTGTGCGGCTGCACCAGCATGCCCGTGTACTCCGTCACCTGGAAGGAAGGCAGACGAAGAGAGGGTGGGGGAAGGTGGGGGGGAGTGGAGGGGAAAAGGGGAAAGGTATGAGTTCACGGAGAGACATTGGCGCCCACAATGGCCTTGTGCGGCTGCACCAGCATTCCCATGTACTCCGTCACCTGGAGGGAGGGGGGCGGAAGAAGTGGATGGGGAGGGGGAAAAAGAAAAGGCATGAATTTAAGGGAATGCATTGGAGCCCAGCCCACAATGGCCTTGTGCGTAGCCTACGTGGTGAAGGGACAAGAAAGGGTCCCAGCTTATAAAGAGACAGTTAACTTCCTATGACTTCCTATGACCTTGTGCGACTGCCCCATGATGCATGTGAACGGGAAGAGGGGGAAGAGGGGGAAGAGGGGGAAGGTGGGGAAGGTCAGGAAGGCGGGGAAGAGGGGGAAGAGGGGGAAGGTGGGGAAGAGGGGGAAGAGGGGGAAGGTGGGGAAGGGGGGGAAGAGGGGGATGAGGGGAAGAGGGGAAAGAGGGAGAAGAGGAGGATGAGGGGGAGGCAATGTGCTTGCGGTTGATGCCCGTGCCATGTGGCTGTAGAAAGCAATCTGTTGCGAATCACACTGCATCACACTGCATCACAGTGCATCACACACCATGCGGCTGGAGAGTGCAATGTGCTTGGGGTTGATGCCCGTGTACAGCCCTCCGAACTGCTCCTGCCCGCGACACCTGATCGCCATCACCACCTGCTCACGCGGGTGGATCGCGGGTGAAAGAGGAAGAGGAAGCAGAGGTGCAGGAAGAATGTGTCGCTGCTACTGCAGATACCCCATGCACCTGCTGCTGATACCCCATGCACCTGCTGCACAGGTGTGCAAGCGCCATGCTTATGTGTTTCACCCGCATGGGATTCTCTGCAGCTCAAGCTATCCGGGAAACAAACTCAGAAAAACGGCATTCCGATTCGTCTCATCAGCCCAGCACAACACCCGCAGCAGCAACAACTGGCCACAGCCACCACACGACCGACCGCCACCAGCCACAGCAGCCACTGACCCTCCCCCCCTCTTCCCCTCTCCACTCCAATCACCTCACATCCACCTCACAAGACTCCCATGTCCCCCCGGTTACACCCACCTCTTCCAGCGACGCATTGCCAGCCCGCTCGCCAATCCCGTTGATGGTCACCTCCAGCTGCCGCGCTCCTGCCTTGGCGCCCTGCATGACACCGACAGAGGGGTCGGAAGAGAGCACGCGGGACATGATGAGGACGGGATAGGAGAGGAGGTGAGGAGAAAGGGACAACGAACAGCTCCGTCTGCTGCTTACATTCTATATCAAGCAACCTCCTCAGCCCAGTGCTGTTCCCTCCTCATCAACTCTCTCGACGCACTGCCAGCGTGTAGGCAGTCGCAAGGCCCAGGCCGTTCAGGCAGTGCATGGAGATGACGACATTCTCGGCGCCCTCCGTGCGTTCTAAGGGGCCTCATATAACATCACGCCCCTACTCTCCCTCCCTCACGCACTCACCGCCAGCGTGTTGGCCGTGGCGAGCCCCAAATCGTTCTGGCAGTGCGTGGAAATAATCACATTCTCGGCGCCCTCCGTGTTCTGGCGGATCTTGGCGATCAGCTAGCCGAACTCGGGCGGCATGGTGTATCCCACCGTGTCAGGGATGTTGAGACCCACTCACTCACTCGTTCACTCACTCCCTCCCTCCGTCGCTCCAACCCTCCCCCACTCCCTCACTCGCTCCCTCCCTCATTCACTCCCTCACTCGCTTCCTCCCTCACTCACCGCAAGGGTGTTAGCCGTGGCGAGCCCCAAATCATTCTGGCAGTGCGTGGAAATAATCACATTCTCCGCGCCCTCCGTGTTCTGGCGGATCTTGGCGATCAGATCTCCGAACTCGGGCGGCATGGTGTACCCCACCGTGTCGGGGATGTTCAGCGTTGTCGCGCCCGCCTTGATCACCTCGCCCAGAATGCGGTACAGGAACTCGGGGTCAGACCTGGTGGGAGCGACAGGAATGAGAATGGGAGTGGGAGGGCACAGAGACAGGAGGGGGGGAGCCTCTCAATGAGCTCGCCGAACTCGGGCGGCATGGTGTACCCCACCGTGTCGGGGATGTTCAGCGTGGTGGCCCCGGCCTTGATCACCTCGCCCAGAATGCGGTACAGGAACTCTTGGACCTGTGGGGAGGGGATGGGAAGACACGGAGGTGGTTGGAACCATGGGGCAACAAGGCATCCTAGTAGCACCCGAGGCTTTTAGCGTACGCCCCATGTTGCGCGCCAGTACCAGCACGCGGCAGGCTGACATGACATTGCATCACACCCATCATCGGCACCCATCACCACCACCCACGACACCCTAACCCCCACCTGCCAGTCTCCTCGGGGCTGAACTCGATGTCGTTGCATCCGAGGCTCTTGTACTCTAATGTGCATTTATACGCGCAGCTTGTACTCTATGTGGATCGCGACCCATCATGCCTGATCATTCTCAAACGTCACACCAGCATTCCGATACTGCCGCCACGCACAGCCGATCAACTACAGGACATCCTCCACACCGCTTTCCGCGCTCGACCCGTGACCTTCACCCACCTGCCAGCATCTTCAGGGCTGAACTCGATGTCGTTGCATCCGAGGCTCTTAGCGTACGCCACCATGTTGCGCGCGATCTCCACGACCTCGTCGGGCGTCTTGCGCAGCTTGTACTCCATGTGGATCGCGCTCGTCGCGATGAACGTGTGGATCCGCGGCCGCGCCGCGTGCCGCACCGCCTCCCACGACGCGTCGATGTCCGCCTTGTTGCAGCGCGCCAGCCCGCAAATCACGGGCACGTACCCCGTCTGCGGGTCGATGTTATTCCCCACCTCCTTGGCGATCGTCCGCACCGCCTCGAGATCATCGGGCGACGCGATGGGGAAGCCCGCCTCGATAATGTCGACGCCGAGCCGCGCCAGCTGGCGCGCGATGTCGAGCTTCTCCTTGCTGGTGAGCGTCGCGCCGGGCGACTGCTCGCCGTCGCGCAGCGTGGTATCGAAGATGCGGACGTAGTTAGGGTCGTCGATGCGGTTCGGGATGTACTCGGGACGGGACGGCCGCGCCGCGGGCTCGTTTCCGTTCACGCTGCTGCGAACGCAGGGGAAGGTTCGTGGGAGCTTCGACGGCTGCGCGTGCGACGCGGCGGAAGAGGGGGCGAAGGCGAGCTGTTGGCCGAAGAAGGCTCTGGGAAGGTCACATTGGCGGGAACCAGAGGTGGTGGTGGTGGCGTCGAAACGAGATACCATGGACGGGACGACTGCTCGAGTCAGCATCACTCCTGCATGCGCCATGACTGCTAGGCTTTCACCGAGCGAATGGATAAGCAGCGAAACGACGGACTAAAACGAGCGTAAAGACTAAGCGTTACAAGTCCTATCGATATCGAAGCTGCCACCGCGTTAGCTGGTTGGACCGAGGCCTAGAAGAAATCACCAGAACCAAATGCGAAGAATGCGTGAAAAAGCGTTCGCCTTTTGTGAACGTGAAGTTGAAAGGGCCGAGAGGGAATGTACGAGTGTTTATGCATTGGCGATGGCTGTGTGTGGAGCCCAGGCGCAGAATCTAGGCAGGGGTACAGGGGGAGGGATTCCAGCGAGGCAGCCTTTGTCGACCTTGGGAGTTCTGAGGGAAAGATGGGCTTGCATGTCGCCCGCTGATTGGTTGAACAGGTGAATGTCAGACGCACAAGATTTCAACCTGGAATTGCGTGAATTGGATTCAAAAGGAGGGTTTGTGCCAGCCGTTGATGATCCGTGAAATCCCAGGGTTTTGGAGAACATGGAAGTGCTGTGTAGAGAATTCTACATCATTCCAAACCATACTTCAACTCTGATATTTACTCTGCTACCGAGTTCTCCAGTATCGAAGTTGGGGTTCCACCTGCTTGCCCCTCTTCGACTTCAAGGCTCTCTTCTGTTCTGTTTGTTTAGTGCCTACCCTGTCATACACTCCCACTCGACATACCCCGTCTCTCTGCTAACCTTGACGTACATCCCTAATTGGTATACATAGGTTAGCACTACATAGGCTTGATTGATTACTTTCTCTGCCTCGCCTAATGTGGAAATTCTAGCGAATTGCATACCATTTCGGTTGCCCGCCGCCATAAGTCAGACAGCTGCTGCTCGCGTAACTGTAAAGATTCAGCGGGCTAGCTGACCGCTCGGCATGGATCCGTTAAAGAAGCTAGAGTACCTTTCACTCGTTTCCAAGGTGTGCTCGGAATTGGAGACGCACGTCGGCATTGCGGACAAAACACTCGCGGAATTTATCATTGAGCTCGGGCAGCAGAATTTTACGGTCGCTGCTTTTGACGCTGCCCTGAAGGAAAACGGAGCCGAGCTGCCCGAGTATTTCGTCGGCACGCTTCTGACTATCATCCACGCCGTCCTTCCGCCGAAGTCCAAATCCAAGGGCTCAGGAAAGAAAACGGGCGACGGCTCGGGCAGCTCGAAATTTCCCGGCCTGGCGGTTCCGGATGACAAGGAACGGGCGAAAGCTCTGGAGAAGGAGCTGCTTGGCGAAGCATCGCGAGACGGGCGAAGAGACGGGGATGGTTACCACGATGACATGGATCGCGACAGGGACCGAGACAGGGACAGGGACGACGGGAGGCGGCGGCGGTGGGATGATGATGGGAGCGACAGGCATCGGGACCGAGACAGAGACAGAGACAGGGGTAGAGAGAGGGACCGGGACGGCGATAGAGACAGGGACAGGGACAGAGATAGAGGGAGAGATAGGGATGAGAGGCGAAGAGGAGACGAGGAGAGGGATCGGTTACCGCCTCGTCCGGCTCTTCCCCCTCCCCCGCCACCCAGGAGCAGCGAATTGGAGGTGTACGGCATTTACAAGGGCAAAGTTTCCCGCATCATGGAATTCGGGTGTTTTGTGCAAATAGACCTTCCGGGCAGCCACGAAAAAAAGGAGGGGTTAGTGCACGTGTCGCAGATCGCGTCGCGGCGGATTAACAGCGCCAAGGACGCGGTGGAGAGGGATCAAGAGGTGTGGGTGAAGGTGATCAGCATGTCCGGGCCGAAACTGTCTCTCAGCATCCGTGACGTGGACCAGAAAACGGGCAAGGACCTTCTGCCCATGAAAAAAAAACCAACCGCGGGAGGGGAGGACGGCGAGGGCGACGACCGCAGCAACCCCGCCGGGCCGGGCACGCGCGGATTATCCGGGATCCGCATCGTCGAAGAGGATAACGCCACGGGGCGGCGTCCCGGCCGTCGGATGTCGTCCCCCGAGCGATGGGAGGCGCAGCAGTTAGTCGCCTCGGGGGTTCTAGACGTGACGGATTACCCTCAGTACGACGATGAAGGCGGGGGGCTGCTGTATCAGGACGAGGGCGAGGAGCAGGAGGTAGAGATCGAGTTGAATGAAGACGAGCCGGCGTTTCTTCGCGGGCAGACGCGCGCGAGTATTGACGTGTCGCCGGTTAAGATCGTTAAGAACCCCGACGGGTCGCTGCAGCGCGCCGCCATGACGCAATCCGCGCTCGCCAAGGAGCGCCGCGAGCTGCGCGAGCAGCAGCAGCGCAGCATGCTGGACAGCATCCCGAAAGATCTGAACCGTCCGTGGGAAGATCCGATGCCGGAGTCTGGGGAGAGGCATCTCGCGCAGGAGCTGAGGGGAGTGGGGCTGGCGGCGTATGACATGCCCGACTGGAAAAAAGACGCGTTTGGCAAGGCGCCCACGTTCGGGCAGCGGTCGAAACTTTCGATGCAGGAGCAGCGGCAGAGCCTGCCAATCTACAAGCTGAAAAACGAGCTGATTCAAGCCGTGAACGAGAACCAGGTGCTAGTGGTGATTGGCGAGACAGGGTCCGGGAAAACCACACAGATGACTCAGTATTTGGCCGAGGCGGGGTATACGAGCAAGGGGCGAATTGGGTGCACGCAGCCGCGGCGTGTGGCGGCTATGTCCGTTGCTAAGCGTGTAGCAGAGGAGTTTGGGTGCCGTCTCGGCGAGGAGGTGGGGTATGCGATCCGATTTGAGGATTGCACTAGTCCTGAGACGGTGATTAAGTACATGACTGATGGTATGCTTCTGAGGGAGATTTTGGTTGATGAGGATTTGTCGTCTTATTCGGTGATCATGCTGGACGAGGCGCACGAGAGGACGATCCATACCGATGTGCTGTTCGGGCTGTTGAAAGATTTGCTGGTCAAGAGGAAGGATCTGCGGCTGATTGTTACGTCCGCCACGCTGGACGCGGAAAAGTTTTCGAATTACTTTTTCCAGTGCCCGATTTTTACGATTCCGGGCAGGACTTTCCCGGTGGAGGTTTTGTACACCAAGGCGCCTGAGACGGATTATTTGGATGCTGCCCTGATTACGGTGATGCAGATTCACCTGACCGAACCTGAGGGCGACGTTCTTTTGTTTCTGACCGGGCAGGAGGAGATCGACACGTCGTGCCAGATTCTCTACGAGCGAATCAAAGGACTCGGGCCGTCGGTCCCAGAACTTATCATCCTGCCCGTGTACAGTTCCCTGCCCAGCGAAATGCAGACGAGAATTTTCGACCCTGCCCCGCCGGGCACCCGGAAAGTCGTGGTGGCCACTAACATCGCAGAAGCATCCCTGACCATTGATGGGATCTACTACGTGGTTGATCCGGGCTTTGCAAAACAAAAAGTCTACAACCCGAAGCTGGGTCTCGACTCGCTCGTCATCACCCCCATCTCCCAAGCCTCGGCGCGGCAGAGGGCCGGCCGAGCTGGGCGCACAGGTCCGGGGAAGTGCTACCGGCTGTACACGGAAAGCGCGTACCGTAACGAAATGCTGCCCACCACAGTGCCCGAAATCCAGCGCACCAACCTGGGCATGACAACGCTGACACTTAAAGCCATGGGCATCAACGAACTGCTCGCGTTTGACTTCATGGACCCGCCACCGCCCCAGGCTTTAATTTCGGCCATGGAGCAACTGTATAATCTTGGAGCACTGGACGAGGAGGGGCTGCTGACAAAACTCGGGCGGAAAATGGCCGAGTTTCCGCTCGAGCCGCCGCTGTCCAAGACGCTGATCGCGAGCGTGGATCTGGGTTGCTCCGAGGAGATTCTGACGATCATCGCGATGCTGCAGGCGCAGAATATCTTTTATCGGCCGCGGGAGAAGCAGGCGCAGGCGGATCAGAAGAAGGCCAAGTTCTTCCAGCCCGAGGGGGACCATCTGACGCTGCTGGCGGTGTACGAGGCGTGGAAGGCGAAGAGCTTTTCAGGGCCGTGGTGTTATGAGAACTTTGTTCAGAGCCGGTCGCTGAGGCGCGCCCAGGACGTGCGGAAACAGCTTCTCACCATCATGGACCGGTGCGTGTGGGGTAGTTGGTAGGTCATGGACCGGTGCGTGTGGGGTAGGGGGAGCGACTGGTAGGGGTAGTTGGTAGGTCATGGACCGGTGCGTGTGGGGTAGGGGGAGCGACTGGTAGGGGTAGTTGGTAGGTCATGGACCGGTGCGTGTGGGGTAGGGGGAGAGAGGGAGTGGGGGAAGGGAATGGGGGGTAACCAACCACCTCTATGATCAGGTAAGTTGGTAGGTCATGGACCGGTGCGTGTGGGGTAGGGGGAGCGACTGGTAGGGGTAGTTGGTAGGTCATGGACCGGTGCGTGTGGGGTAGGGGGAGAGACTGGTAGGGGTAGTTGGTAGGTCATGGACCGGTGCGTGTGGGGTAGGGGGAGCGACTGGTAGGGGTAGTTGGTAGGTCATGGACCGGTGCGTGTGGGGTAGGGGGAGAGACTGGTAGGGGTAGTTGGTAGGTCATGGACCGGTGCGTGTGGTGGGGTAGGGGGAGAGAGGGAGGGGGGGAAGGGAATGGGGGGTAACCAACCACCTCTATGATCAGGTAAGTTGGTAGGTCATGGACCGGTGCGTTTTGAGGGGGGGGAAGGTGGGGGGTTGTGGTGGGTGGGGTGTGGGCAGCAGGACTGGTGGGTGTGTGGATTTCACAAGCAGCTGCTCACCATCAAGGACCGGTGCGTGTGGGGGAAGGGGTATGAGGACTGGTGGGAGGGTGTGTGTGTGTGGGTGGGTGGCTTCCCTCCCCGCCCCTCTTTGCCTCTCCTTAAACCCTCTTGCCCCAACCAGGTACAAGCCGGACGTGATCTTCTCTCTGCTAGTCGCAACTTCATTAGGATCCGCGAGGCACTCTGTTTGTGTTTCTCCTCCCACGCACTGTGGGGTGGCACTGTCTCACTCACCACCCAACTCCTCTCACATTCTTCCTGTTTCCCCTCTCCTTGCCCCTCCTCGCCCCCCCGTCGACCCTTCTCGTGCCTCCTTGCCTCCCTCTTCCCTTCCCTTGCACGCATGTAGGTACAAGCTAGACGTGGTATCAGCAGGTCGCAACTCCATCAAGATCCGCAAAGCCCTCTGCTCCCGTCTACATCCACCCCTCCTCCGCTCTCTTCCAGCGCCAGCCCGACTGGGTGCTGTACCATGAACTCGTGATGACCACCCCTCCTGCCCCTCCATGTGTGCCCCCTTGCCCCACCCCATCTCAGGTACAAGCTGGATGTCGTATCAGCAGGCAGAAACTTCATCAAGATCCGCAAAGCCCTCTGCTCAGGCTTCTTCTTCCATGCAGCCCGAAAAGATCCCCAAGAAGGCTACCGCAGCATCGTGGAGAACCAGCCCGTCTACATCCACCCCTCCTCGGCCCTCTTCCAGCGGCAGCCCGACTGGGTTTTATACCATGAGCTCGTGATGACCACCAAAGAGTACATGAGGGAGTGCACGCTGATCGACCCGCGGTGGCTGGTGGAGCTGGCGCCGCGGTTCTTCAGGCAGGCGGATCCCACGAAGCTGAGCAAGAGGAAGCGGCAGGAGCGGATCGAGCCGCTGTATGACCGGTACCATGAGCCCGGCGCGTGGCGGCTGAGCAAGAGGCGGGCGTAAGGGGGGGTAGGTGGGGCAGGTGGGGAAGGTGGGGGGTGAGGAGGTGCGGAATTGTGAGCTCGTGATGACCACCAAGGAGTACATGAGGGAGTGCACGCTGATCGACCCGCGGTGGCTGGTGGAGCTGACGCCGCGGTTCTTCCCGCAGGCGGATCCCACCAAGCTGAGCAAGAGGAAGCGGCAGGAGTGCATCGAGCCGCTGTATGAACGGTACCACGAGCCCGGCGCGTGGCGGCTGAGCAAGAGAAGGGCTTAAGGAGGAAGGGGGCGGTGAGGGTGGGGCAGGCGAGGGTGAGGAGGTGTTGAGTTGCTTTGTGAATCTTCTCAGAAGTGGATTGAGCCGCTGTATGACTGGTACCATGAGCCCAATGCGTGGCGGCTTAGCAAGAGGAGGGTTTAAGTGGGGAAGGTGGGAAGTAAGGGGGGGTTTGAGATTGAAGGAATTGAACGTGTAGCGAGGTTGTTTTTGAGACGTCTCAAAAACAACCTCGCTACACGTGGCCTTTGCTGAGCTGCAGCGAGATTTGCGAACTCTCTGATTCATTGGAGCTAGAGGGATTGAAGGAATTGAAGATGAATGAGAACGGTGAAGCAGTGTGGCCTTAGTGGAGAGAGTTTTTTTCCCCCGCTGGTTACCTGAAGTGCTTACTAGGATGGTACTGCAGTGTTCTTTGTCTTTAGTGCTGAGAATATTCACATTATCACAGCTGTATGTATGTTATGTTGCCATTATCACTCATCTGTGAGCCTTAAAACCGGGGTGCACATTCAGCTGAATGTGCATCAAAGGTTATCCCTTGACTGAGTGGGTTACGAGGTGTGCTTTCAACCCCTTCAAGTCGAAATTCGTTTCCCCCCTCCCCCGCAATTTTGTTTCCCCCCTCCCCCGCAATTTCGTTTCCCCCCCCTCCCGCCAATCTGTTTCATCCCTCCCGCCATTCGGTTTCACCCACTCCCGCCATTTCACCCCCTCCCGCCACCTACGAAATGCCCGAAGCTCTAGCGGAATCATTTTTTTGTCGCCCCTCGTGAGCCAATCACTGTTTTTCTCCAAACCCCCTTCCCAACATCTCAAGCCGAACCGCGTTGAATGTGCACCCTGGTTTTAAGACCTGCTGAACTGCACTGACATACTGTACTTAAGACAGAAATAAGTCCAGAGCGGAAAGGGTTTTAAATCCCACACTGTACACCACGCCACCATGGCCAGCTCAGACTAGAACCATGCCTAGGAGCGATGGAGAGCAGAGTCACTAGAGCAGCCACTGCCACGCGCCCATGATGATTGTTCACAACTACAGAATACAGCAGCAAGGAGGAGCGGAATATATATGTATCTCTTACCGGATTCTGCTCCTCCTTTGTCATTTTGTACAGACCAGTGTGGCATGCACTGCTCACTGATGGGCTTGAAGTTGCGAGGCCGCGTTGGGGTGGCAGTGCAGGAAGTGTGCTTGACAGCCAGCGTTAGTGGTGATGTACGACCCACTACATGCGATAAGCTCATGTGATAAGCTGATGTGATATGCTGATGTGGATGTGGCAAGCTGATGTTGGCACCGGTAAGCTATGCACTGACAAGCTGCCCACACATTAGGGCTTGGAGTTGGGGAGGCGCCTTGAGGTGGCAGCAGAGCGAGCGCGCTCATCAGAGAACTTGGCATAGTCGCTGAGAACTCGGTTGTTCACTCTGTCCTTCATTGATGCCAGCAGCTGCTGCAACGCCTGAAAGTGATTCAAGGGGGTGGAGGGAAGGACGATGAGAACTATGCCCAGCAGAGAACTTGGCATAGTCGCTGAGAACTCGGTTTTTCACTCTGTCCTTCATTGATGCCAGCAGCTGCTGCAACACCTGATGCAAACACAATGCGGGGAGGGAAGGGAAGGACGATGAGTGCACTTGGTATAGTTGTTGAAGACTCGGTTGTTCCCTCGGTCTTTCATTGATGCTACCAGCTGCTGCAACATCTGAAAGCGAATAAATGCGGTGGGGAGAAGGATGACGAACAGTGATCATAGTCATTGACACAACAGAACTCACCACGCTGCCAACAGCCTCGATGGACTGGAGGGGCACCTGCATGGCCACTCAGTGTTCTGCCAAACCTGTATGTTGTCACTCGGCTCGGCATGCTGCCAACTCATGCTGCCAACTCATGCTGCCAACTCATGCTGCCAACTCATGCTGCCAACTCATGCTGCCAACTCACCACGCTGCCAACTCATGCTGCCAACTCATGCTGCCAACTCACCACGCTGCCAACTTACCGCACTGCCAACAGCTTCGATGGACTGGCGGGGAACGAGGAAGAGGTTGGGCGGCACCTGCATGCCCACTCATCGTGCTGCCAACTCAACATGCTGCCTTCTCAGACCTCTACCAACTCACCGCACTGCCAACGGCCTCGATGGACTGGCGGGGAACGAGGAAGAGGTTGGGCGGCACCTGCATGCCCACCGTCACCGCCATCTGCCCCCGCAGCACACTCCGGCCGGCACCCTGCCGCCCACCGTAACTCATGCTACTGCTACTGCTGCTGCTGCTGCTGCTGCTACTACTGCTGCTCCCAGATCCGCTGGTGATGCTGAAAGCAGTCATAGTGGTACCCACACCAGCACTGCTGCTGCTGCTGAAGCTGAAGCTAGAGCCGTTCCCTTGCACTTGCTTGCTGCTGCTGGCGTAGCTGGTGACAACAGCAGGCTGGTTCGGCCGGGATGACTGGGCGAAGAGAGATCCGCGCACGTCCAGAGAGAAACTAGCAGGATCGTAGTCCACTCCTTTGAGCTCCCAGTTGGTCTGCAATGGAAAAAGGGGCAGGGGAATAGGGGAGGAGAGACCTTTGAGTCGACTCAGTTGTCACCTGTGCACGTCCAAAGAGAAGTTGGCAGGAACGTAGCCCACTCCCTTGAGCTCCCAGTTGGTCTTAGATGGGAAGAAAAGGAATTGGAAGAGGGCGCCAGGGATAGGGAAGGAGAGGACATGCATGAGGCGTGGGACATGAGTGCTGGGGAGGAGACACGAGCACGTGAAAGAGGAGTAGGACGGATGGATGACTCGCCTTGGTTTATTACCATAGGGCAGTGTTACCATTTGCAGCAGCAGCACCTTGCGGCTGGCTGGTTTAGTACCATATGGCAATGACTCAGTTTATATACCATAACCGCTCTGCTTGCAATGGCAGCACATGGCACGCATGAGCCTCGCTTCTTCTATGAAGCGGCCCGCATGTATGAAGCGTAGCACTTACAAGCACATGACTTGTACCAGCACAGCATGAGATGAGCCTCACGGCTTGCACACGCATCACCATTCACATGCTCACCGCTTGCAGGCGCATAACGTGTTTCACGGAGGAGGCATCTCGGACTCGATCCAGCAGGGGAGAAGGTTGGTCGAGGAAAATGCGCATGTCCACTATTGGCCGCGCTGTGCCGAGGACGAACGTTATTGGCAGCATGTGAATTCGCCACTCTTCCTGCATAGATTATGGTTGATGATAGTAGATGGTTGATATTAGATGGAACAGGCAGCAATATGAGAAATCGAGCACGGGGCACACATAATTGATTCTTGAGGCACCTCATGAAGCATGTGTTTTTGCCACTTGCCCAACAGGACAACACTGAAAACTCATTGCTCCTCCCCGTAACATCCTCCTCTATCATAAACAAGAAGTTTCGACCACCAAGTCGCCTTGCCTGCTCCCATCTCAAGCTCCGCAACACGTGTCACAACACTCCTACCAGGCATCACATGAGAACGAGTCAAGGCAGCAGACTAGAGCATAGCACCGCACCGCACCGCACAGTGCAATCCGACACTCCCGTTCACTCTCCAACTACAGTCCTCAACACTTGTCTACACTCCTTTACCTCTGAGAGCTTTTCAGAGCGCTGTTTGTCGGGAAAGAACGCGTCAAAGACTCTGTTGGGGTTCTCCAGGTACTCGTGGAATGGCGCCTGGTGACGGGTGGGTGCAGCGAGAGAGAAGGGCAGGAGCGGGAAGATTAATGGGAATTTTTAGTCAGCTCAAGAAGGCGGCACAAGACCCGGTTCGGATTCTCCAGGTGCTTTTGAAGGGGCGCCTGATGGCGTGGCGGGTGCAGCGAGAGAAAGGGCAGGAGGGAAAGTTTGAGTGGTTCTTTAGAATTCTTAAAAATTGCTCAAAAGATGAGTGCGCGCAGTCCGCTGTGACATGAGGCATAGGAACACGGATTTTGCTCCAAACAGCAGTTTGAAGACACGAGGGTAAGAATGGGTGAGATTGGAAAGACGTGACGGCGAAAGAGCAGCGGCGGATGGTGCGGAGAGGGCTACCTCAGGTCGTTACCGCGGCGGAATGTCGGTGTCAAGCGACGCTGTGAATTCCACTAAGTCCCCAAGCCCGTTTGAGGCGCCTCAACAGCTTACCTCGAATATTACACCGAATGAAATGAGATTTGAAACGTCTCAAGATCCAGAACCTTACCTCTGGTCGTTCTCGGAGCGGAATGTTGGTGTCGAGCGACGCGGTGAATTCCACGAAGTCGACACTCGCCTGCGCGACTCCCGCTAGCCCTCGCTGGCCATGTCGGCCGCGATTTCCGCCGTCAATGCCGGCGCTACTTCGTCGAAGTCGTTTCGGAAGGCCGGGAACGAGCTGATTCCGCAATAGCGAACTCGATTCTCGCGAGGTGCGCGAAGAATTCGCGAATTCGGAACAATTTGAGCAGTGAGGTTGGCGACGTAGCGAGAAGCCTGGCGACTGGGTGCGACGGGTGACGAGGCCAGCGACTGCTTGTCGCCGCGCGGTGCACGTGATGACAGCGCCATTCGCGGCGACGGCCGCTCCTCGGGTTGCTAGCGCTCCCCACGCCGCCATCGCAGGAGTCACCAAGGCGAAAAAAAATGATTATCGAAGCTCACCAGAGTCGACTCAAGAAGCAGCGTAGCACACTCGTCGTACGAAAAATACCTGATGGACCCCCACGGTACTATCAAGGATCCTCGAGTGGCTGCTGTCCTGGGAAGCACTGTGGAGTGGAAATGCTGTAAAATGGGATGCACGCATGAGGTGGGGGAGGGGGAGCAGGGCGACAATCCCGAGGGCCGACGCCTGTCAGGGGCGCTGTGTTTGTGTCAAGGTGGGGAGAGAATTGCTCCAGTGCCTTGTTTGGTGATTCGCTCTTGCCCACGTGTCCCCGAATTGCTCGAGTGGCCATCCAATTCCGTGATAATTGCTCGAGTGGCCATGCCAGGGCATTTTCGAGGTGTTTGTTTTCCCTGGCACATAACCCTACAAGGGTTCGTACCCCCGAAATTCCTCGTTCGCACAACAGTAGATGCGCGGTCATTTTCGGCCCAATGCGCGACCAATGAGCGCGCGGGCAATTACATCAGCGATCATAAACTGCAACGCCAGAGCATAAATGCACGAACATATTATTGACCGCGCACGATTAGTCGATAATATGCTTCTTGCCCTTTTTCGCAATGCGCATCCAATCACGCATGGTCATATAATTCACGACCATATATTTAGGCGATAAAGGGTCGCCCAAAAACCAATATGAGCGCGCATATACTACCATTAGTTCTATTATATTTTCGGTCCATATAAAACCATGTATATCAAATGCCATAAATATATTCTCTGCTATTAATTTAAGCCCATCATAACCGTGGTGGCAGCATATTATGCTGGGCTTAAATTAATATTATGCTGCCAAACATATTATTTCTGCAACCATATTACCGGCAATACAATATTATGGACCACGGTATGATGGGCTTAATATTATGATAGGCCATGATATAATATTATTTCTAGTACGACGGGCTTAAATTAATAGCAGATAATATATTTATGGCATTTTATATGCATGGTTTTATATGGACCGGACATATGATAGAACTAATGGTAGTATATGCGCGCTCATATTGGTTGTTGGGCGAAGCTTTATCGCCTAAATATATGGTCGTGAATTATATGACCGTGCGTGATTGGACGCGCATTGCCAAAAAGGGCAAGAAGCATATTATCGACCAATCGTGCGCGGTCAATAATATGTTCGTGCATTTATGCTCTGGCGTTGCAGTTTATGATCGCTGATGTAATTGCCCGCGCGCTCATTGGTCGCGCATTGGGCCGAAAATGACCGCGCATCTACTGTTGTGCGAACGAGGAATTTCGTGGGTACGAACCCTTGTAGGGTTATGTGCCAGGGAAAAAAAACACATCGAAAATGCCCTGGCATGGCCACTCGAGCAATTATCACTGAATTGGATGGCCACTCGAGCAATTCGGGGACAGGTGGGCAAGAGCGAATCACCAAACGAGGCACTGGAGCAATTCTCTCCAAGGTGGGCCCCTCGTGTCGTTTGGCCTTCCCGTTGGCAGTCAGTTGGCCGACCCGAAGTCCGTAACAAAGCCCGTACTGCAGGTGCGCGATGCCAGTTTCGCAGTGTGGGATTTACAAATCCTTACTGAGACACTCCTTAGCGAGGTCATCCCGAGGGTCACGCGACGAACCTGTTTGGCCTATTTCGTCGCACCGAACCACCCCCGAGTCGGGCCCCGCTCCAATCACGACATCACCGAGCCATCTCCGCCCGAACCCCGCCTAGCTAGCTTTTCCCCTATTTAGTCGTGCCACTTTCCTTGTGTCGTCATTCAGTATTCAACCATTCTCGTTATTCGTTATTCTGCGCACTCTGCAAGTTCATTCATAACACACAGGGTGTCCAATTCCAAAGAACAGGACTTCTCTTGAGCATTTCGTGTGCACATGGATCAGGTAGGAAAACGGAATGGTGACAAGTGTATGATGCTAAGCAGAGGTAGGATATCAGTGCAGTCGATTACTTCATTAAGTGAACCTGAAGAAGCTTCTAACGAAACAGAAACATTGGTTTGGGTCGAGCGTTGCTGTCACGTTCTGGGATCTCGACACATGTCAGGTACTAGCTGATCAGCAGCTCGACCCCTCTCATTCCACACCATGGCGGCTCGAGAAAGAAGCTCTGAGTCCGTCACAGATGGCGCCGCGGTCTTTATCCACAACCTCTCGCATCGCGTGTCCGACTCCGTCTCCGGGTCGCCATTCTGGTTCAGAAATTCATTCCCTCTCGTCCCGTCCTTCCCACGGTCGCATGTAAAACCGCGAATCTTCCGCATCTCATTTCGTCGGCTTCCCACCCGCAAGAAAAGAATCTCCGTCGATTAACGCGATAGCGTGAAACCTTTCATGCTATCAGAATCTCCCCCTTGCTAACTTCGTACGCGTTACCGGCAGCCTTTTAGTTGTGCAATCATGCAGGAGAAGCAACAGCCGCCGCAGCAGCAGCAAACGCGGCACGAGGCGCATCACGAGCTCCCAGCCACTCATGCCACGTCAGAGCGGCCCGGCCGAGTGGTGGTGGAGGGCGAAAGCGTCGCGACTTTCCTGGAGAAGCAACCCGGAAAGATCGCCATGCCCGCCCAGTCCGCTGAATCTGCCGGCCGCGGCTCGTCTGAGACAGGCTTATCTGAGGGCGGTGTATCTGAGGGTGGTTTACCCAGTGGAGGCGGGTACTCCGGCCTCGCTGCTCCTGCCAGGGAGGAATTGGAATCTTTGGAGGAGTTCAGAGTGGTTGGAAAGGGTGGGAAGGTCAAGGGGGGCGACAAAGGGGAGCCTGTGGAGCTGGAGACACGTGGCGTGCAGGGATTGGCGGAGGAGGAAGGAGCTGCAGCACGTGAAACCAAGGCAGGAGGAGGGAAAGTGCACGAGCGTGCTTCCGGGTCTGAGAAGGAAGCTTCGGAGAAGGCTGGAGAGGTGCCGAAGGGAGTAGGAGCGGAGCGGGAGCGGGGAGCTCTAGCGGGGGAGAAAGAAAAGGCAGGGGCGGAGAGAAAAGAAAGGGCGGGGATAAGGAAAGGAGGGGCAGGGGCGGAGGTGAAAGAGGAGGGGAAAGAGGGGGCTGGGGCAAAGGAAGAAAAGGGACCAGGGGAAGGGCCAGGGGCGGAGTCTGTTGTCATGGGCGGGGTGGATACGGGGGAAGTTACGGGCGGGTGCACTGGTGGTGGGGCAACGGAAGGGGGGATTGAGGCGCAGCAGACTGTTGGCTGGCAGGCGGAGAGGGGAGGCGAGGAGGTGAGGCGGATGGAACAGGGGGTGGAGAAGCTGTCGCTGGGGGAGGGGGGGTTTCCGCAGAGCAGGGGGGAAACTGCGGGTGAGGAAGGGGTGGGCGGGGAAGGGGTGGGGGGGAAAGGTGGGGGGGAGAAGGGGATGCGCGGAGTGGAAGAGGGGCTGCAGAGGCTGACAGTTTCGGACATTGGGGGGATGAGGGGGCGTGGTGGAGAGTGGGAGAAGACAGTGGAGGGCGCGCAGGGTGAGAAGGCAGGGAAGGTAATGGAGAAGCGGAAGGGGGGAGAGGAAGGGGTTTCTGGAACGTCAGAGGGGCAGCCGGAGGTGGAAGCGGTGGAGCAGGGAATGAGGAGGCTGGCAATGTCTGCTCAAGGCGGGGAGAGTGGTGGGAAGGAACGGAAGGAGGAGGGGAATGAGGGAGGTGGGGTGGAGGTGGGGGAGGCAGAAGGTGGGGGACGGGTTGTGGCGGGTGGAGGGGTTGTGGAGAGGGCACAGGACGTTGCCACGTCAGCTTGGACCAGCACAACTGGAGCGATCACAGATACTGTCAAGGTAACAAATGCCTGTTTTTTGGAATAATGGCCTTTTTCCTTGGCCTCTTTGATTTTCTACATTCCTTGTTTTTTTTTTTGTCTTATCCACTGAATTTGGCCATGCACTCTGAGAGAAGCTATGTTTCTTTCTGTTAATCTAATAATCTTAGCCTCAAAACCTCAAACCGTTCAACTATTCATTTTTTCGCTCGCGTCGTTCAAAAAACCGAGGTTACGGTGGGGGCTTGCCTCGTGTGTGCTCCCGTCCCCCAACCGGCTTGACCCCACTGGGGTCGTCCACAGGTGCTCGGCTCCCTCACTGGTTTCGCCCCCACCAGTACCGAGGTGCCTGCTAACGCTGCACGAAGCTCAGGTATGTGCGCATGTCCAAGATTACATTTTTGAGGTGCCTTAAAAGTCGTCTCGCTGCACGAGACACAGGTGCAGGAGGGACTGGCGATAGAGGGATCTGTGTGTTCAAGAGGAGTGGAATGTGTCGGACAGGTGCTGCTGGTGTGATCAACGTGGTGGGTGTGCAAGGCCTTCTGTGGCATGGGAGGTGGGAGAGGTTTGATGGATGTGACGCCGGTGGTGTGATTTCATGTGGGGTGTGCTCGCACGGTGTGATTGAATGTGGGTGTGATCTTGTGTGGGCTGCGCTGTTTGTGGTTTGACATTCATCTGTTACCGTATGCTAAAGATGTGTGTGTAGTCTATTTTTTGGATTATCCTTCATGGCTCGCTTTGATGCCTGTTCTGTATGTGTATTGCAGCTGCAGGTGGTGTACATGAGCGTACAGCCCAATTGCAGGAGGAGTGATTCGGTCAAGGGGAGAGCTGTACATTGGCGTTTGATTACATGCTTTAGTGTGTGTACAGAACCATCTTCATTGTGATGTGATCTGTTTGGTGTAAGCTTCTTTTGAATAATCGTATCACAATCTTGGATATTAACGTATGACTGGTCTAGAGCAATCCAAGACAGAAAATGGCATCGGCATGACGACATAAAAAGCCTTCGTGCATATGATCCAAATCAAAAGCAAATTCAGTATGTTTCTACATCTGGTGCTTATTCATAAACAGTGACAACTGGTATGGTAGCACGCTTGATAAAATTCATTAAAAAACATTGCAGAGCTGTGGACAAACCACCCCAAAAATAAACAAGCCACTAGCCCATACCATGAACTTCATATATCCCAGAATGCAGAGACAAAATCACATATAATGTTCATGCTGCAAGCAGCTGTTTAGCTCTCCGTGTCTGTAGATCTCAGGGGAATCGGGGATGAAGGTGGCCGCAGATCAGGGAACATGGTGTACGGGCTGAGGGGCCGGTTTGCATATGGCAGGTCGGATTTGCTACTGCTGCTGCCATTGCCCGAGTCAGAACCGGCAACCTCCCACGGCCACTTAAGCTCAAAGCCCTTGTCCTCACCTGCTGAAGTTTTCACCCACACCCTCTTAGACCCAGCGGGAGCATCAGCAGCAGGAGCTGCCGCTGCTGCAGCCACCTCAGGCTTTGCAGGTGCTGAGACTGGCTCTGCCTTTGGTGGTGCAGGTGCCGCAGGAGCAGGTGGTGGCTCTGACGTTACCTTGGCGGCAACAGGAGTCGGAGGAGATGGAGACGGAGAGGTCGGAGGCTTCAGGTCCTCATACCTGACAAGGGAAAGGGGAAAGAAAATGCAATTTAGAAATGGGCATGCAGAATCCCAGTGACAAGGCACACATTGGCACAATGACCCAACCCTTACTGCGTGTAGGGAGACAGAGGGGTTGGGCTGGGCGGAAGGTCAGTGGAGGACTTCTTTTCCTCCTCTGCAACCTGCCACGGCCAGCGGAAGTTGATGCCGCCAGCACTGGCCTGTGCCTCAGGAGCAGCCTCCTTCACCTTCCTTTCTGCATCAGCCTTGGCCTTAGCTTCTGCCTCAGCCTTGGCCTTAGCTTCAGCCTCAGCCTTGGTCTTAGCTTCAGCCTCAGCGGCGCTGGCCTTAGCTTCGGCCTCAGCAGCCTTAGCCTTAGCTTCGGCCTCAGCCTTGGCCTTAGCTTCTGCATCAGCCTTGGCCTTAGCTTCTGCATCAGCCTTGGCCTTAGCTTCTGCATCAGCCTTGGCCTTAGCTTCTGCATCAGCCTTGGCCTTAGCTTCTGCATCAGCCTTGGCCTGAGGATCAGGCTTGGGAGGAGATGGAGAGGGAGACGTCGGGGGCTTCAGATCAGGGTACCTGAAAATCAAACACAGAGCAGAAAGAGCATGAGCAAGAATATTGGTTCAAGAAAAACACATACTCTATCCTCCCATACAGAATCCAATAGCTTACATTGTGTACGGAGAGAGTGGAGTTGGACTAGGAGGCAGATCGGTGGACGAACTCTTCTCCTCAGCAACTTGCCACGGCCAGCGGAATGGCAAACCCCCTCCACTGCTCTTGGCCTTCGCCTCTGCTTCAGCCTTTGCCTTAGCAGCTGCTTCAGCCTTGGCCTTGGCTTCTGCCTCAGCCTTGGCCTTGGCTTCTGCCTCAGCCTTGGCTTTGGCTTCAGCTTCAGCCTTGGCTTTTGCCTCAGCCTCGGCCTCTGCCGCAGCCTTCGCCTTGGCATCGGCTTCTGCCTTCGCTTTAGCCTCAGCCTCTGCCTTGGCCTTGGCAGCAATTGCTTCAGGGCTAGGCTTAGGAGGAGATGGAGAGGGAGAAGTAGGGGGCTTCAGGTCCGGGTACCTGAAACATGACATGGACATTATTGTACGTTATTGTTTGAATTTCAAGTATAATGTGGTCCATCATTGCAGACTCCGCAGTATTGATGCTTCATTTTTGTTCATTTGATACTAACCACTGTTATATTATCACTTCAAATGTATAACTCACATGGTGTAGGGTGAAAGCGGAGTTGGGCTTGGTGGGAGGTCGGTAGATGACTTTGGCTGCTCCACCTGCCACGGCCACCGAAATCCACCTCCACTTGCTGCGACCTTTGCCTTAGCTTCCGCTTCAGCCTTGGCCTTAGCCTCAGCCTTCGCTTTAGCCTCTGCCTTAGCCTTAGCCTCTGCCTCTGCCTTTGCCTTGGCCTCTGCCTCCACTTTCGCCTTGGCCTCTGCCTCCACCTTCGCCTTAGCATCTGCCTCTGCCTTCGCCTTAGCTTCTGCCTCCGCCTTCGCATTAGCCTCGGCCTCCGCCTTGGCCTTAGCCTCGGCCTCCGCCTTGGCCTTAGCCTCGGCCTCAGCCTTCGCCTTAGCCTCGGCCTCAGCCTTCGCCTTGGCCTCGGCATCAGCCTTCGCCTTAGCCTCAGCCTTGGCCTTAGCTTCGGCCTCAGCCTTTGCCTTCGCCGCGGCCTCAACCTTAGCCTTGGCTTCAGCTTCAGCCTTGGCCTTCGCTTTGGCTTCAGCCTCAGCCTTGGCCTTCGCAGCAGCCTGCTCCCTGGCCTTAGCCAGTGCCTCTGCATCCGCCTTAGCCTTGGCTTCTGCCTCTACCTTAGCTCGAGCTTCAGCTTCTGCTCTTGCCTTCGCCAGTTCAGCGGCAGCTGCTGCAGCAGCCTCCTTCTCACGCAATTCACGGATGAGGCGGTCCTTCTCACGCTGGCTCAAGCTGCACAAAAAGTACACAATGGCAAGAAGGCGAACTTCAGCGAATGCCCATATATCCTGGACCTAGATTTTAACAAGTCAACATCAGTCAACAGAAGTACTTACATTCGACCTTCCGTGGCTGCAGCAAGAACGGCCTCCTCCACAACCTTAGCCTCTTTAGCAGCTTGAGAAGCTGCAGCTGCTCGTGATTCGATCTCTTGGCGCTTCTGCTCGAGAGCAGCCTGCTCAGCAGCAACTGACTGGGCCTCAGCGAGAGCCTCTTCTTTTTGCTGACGGGCAAGCTGAAGCTGCTCGGCCAGTTTAGCCCTTGCTTCGGCAGCCTTACGCTCAGCTGCCTCTGTCGCCTCTGCCTGCTTCTTCCTTTCCCGTTCTGAAGCCACCGCCTCCTTCTGTTTCTGCTGCCTTGTGTCCACTACAACAACTTCCTCCTGCAAGCAGATAACAAACAAATGTGAGACAATAAAGCGCAAACAGTCGTATAGTATTGCTACAATAATAACCACAACGAAAAGCTTACAACTTCGTATTCGTCATCATCTTCCACTGCATCATCAGAAGGAATAGCAGCCAAGAGGCTCTCAATAGATTCTTCGGGGGCTGTCGTCTCAGCAACCGCTTCCACAACCTTGTTGGCGGCAAGATTTGGCTTGTTCAACGCAACCGCAACCAACTCCGCAATCTGCATCAACGTGCCCACGAGTTAACTACGTTGCACATTACTACGAAAGCATTAACGGTTTGTAAATTTAAATACTTGGCATACCTGCAAGGTGGACACTTGGCCACCCGTTAAAGTGCCACCCTCCTCCAGCTTCAGGTTATGTGTTTCCTTGTAGGAATCAGTCGGCCTCTCCATTCCACCAGGACGAATGATCTGTCAAACAACAGGTGTCAACAAAATCAGCATTACAAGCACAACCTCGCGAGCTTCGTAACATGGCTTAGCTATAGTGACGTACCAAATACGGAACGCCGCTCGCTTTCAACGTCTTCTCAGCCTGCGCCTTCCAGAAGAGGACACCCCAGAACAAGCTGAGGGGAGTACCATAAATTGTGTGAGAAATCAGTCACTTCTCGAAGAAAGGAGGGCGACAGGAGACAATACTTACTTCAGTAGTGATGCAGGGAAACCGAACTTCCCAGTGCCGATTGACGAAATCATGATAAATTGGTTCACTCCAAGTTCGGCAGCTGAAAGGACAAAGATTTGCGTCAAGACACGTAAGACACAGCCAGCCCACGACCGATAAATAACGGAAGCACAACGACTTACATGCGTTTATCAGATTCTCCGTTGCAACCTTATCCACGCTGTACGGCCCGGAGACATTGAGCAGATTCTCGGATGCACCAATGGCGCACACAACCTTTCCAGCATTGCCAATAGCTTCCTCAACGGACTCCGGGTCAAAAATGTCGAACTCCACAAGCTCCACATCGGCCTCTTTCCCAAAAAACAACTGAAAAGGAAAAACAGTCCGTTAGAATTGCTCTGCAAGTGGCCAAGGGATGTGCACATAAGACTGCCACTTACATCGAAAAGTCCCTTCTTAGGCGGTGAAGGAAGCTGCAAACACCAAGATCGAGGTACGACCGGAAGGTAAGCACTACGTTAAGCGATGATTGGCAATGCGAACGGCTTAACAAAACTGCAACTTACATCAGTGAGGACCTCGTCTGCCTTGGTAAGGCTACGCACTCCGGCTCGAACCTTGAATCCAGCCTTGATAGCCTCCCTGTATTAGAAAGTGAATATTGTGAGGTTCCAATCTGGTTACATCAAAGCTAATTGCAGCTTAAGTGTGAGTGTAGTGTATACCTGACCACACGAGAGCCAACTCTGCCAGTTGCCCCGGCAATAAACACAACATTGTCGTCACGGGAATTGTTGTTTGTCTTAGCAGCACCGAATAAATTAAATGGTGAGAATACGAATTTCTGGGTCCCCTTCTCTTCGACCTCCTCAATTTCCTCTTTTACTTTCTGAGTACCCTTGTCTCCTCCCCGGAAACTCCATGGGAGCTTCAACGTTCCCTCCGACGCTGCAGGTTCAGCCGCTGCAGGTTCCTCCTCCTCATCATCCTTTTTCTTCGGAGAGAAGAGGCCTGAAAGCGTACACAAAACGGGTGTGAGTGTTTGAGGACGTAACTACGAGGGCCTCGCGTGCTTGTTGAGACCTACCTCCGAATCTCGCACGGCAGGCAACGACTGGTCGGGCAGATCTCACAGCAAGTGCTCGCTGACCCTTCAGTGAGTCAGCGAGGCTGAGATAGCCACCATAGTTGGATTTTGAAAGCACCTTCTCATTCGCGCCGCTATGCAGAGCATTTAGGGCTACTTGGCCTGTGGCTAAAAGCGTAGCATTGGCTGCTGCTAGGGAACCCATTTTCCCCGAGTGAGGAACTCACTCACTGGAGAGCTGACTGCTCAATGCTGAACTACAGTTTGGACCAAAAGCCTTCCCAGAATTCCCAAGGCCCAAAGGTGACTCTGATCAAGAAGTGCTTCTGAAATTGGAGATGGTCGTGGGAAGGAATTGTGATGGAACGAAGAATCTGGACCGCAGCCAGCCGCCACTGGCTTTTGTCGCAGGAGATTACGGAGGGGTGTAGAGGGTCGAATCTGGTGGTGATCGTTCACTCCTGGCACGGAGTGATCCACCTGGATGCCACGTGGACAAGTTTGGTGTTGAAGGCCGTGAAGATCTCTGTAACAAGTGGAAATGGATGCCGAGGTCTGATCCGCCAGCGATGTCGTGGACACGCAAACCAGCCTCATTTTGTCGCCAGCCATTCAACAAAGTCGCAGAGACAGTGTTCAGCTTCCATTTTGTTACAGACACACTCAGCAAGCTGGAAACACATTCAGCAAGTGACTAGGCTTCACAAAAAATAATACATCAGATCAGACATCATGTTACATTCGCCTAGGATCCCGGCTAAGACCTTTTAAACGCAATTCCCGTATGTATGCTTTGACTAAGGAACACTTATTTATGCCAAGAGAATGAAGCATTTGCCACGTGTATATGCCGCTCGTGTGCATATCATCAAACAATATCCTAAGGGAATGAAATGGACCAGGCAGCACGACATTAGGAAACAAAAAATCTCATAGCTTGCAGAAAAATAGATAACTGTCATCTATGGCACTAACCTGATGGCATAGTTTCCCACAGGTTCCACTTTGATAACGTGGACATAACGGCGACCAGATAGAATCTGCCAAACGGAGAGGAACTGGTACATTAGATTGCCTGTGCAAACGCTTACTAATGCAGGGAAGGCAACGACAGAAACTCTGCAAGAGGGGCAGGGAAATCGGAGGAGGCCTCCTCAGGTACAATACGAGAGAGAGAGAGAGAGAGAGAGAGAGAGAGAGAGAGAGAGAGAGAGAGAGAGAGAGAGAGAGAGAGAGAGAGAGAGAGAGAGGGGAGCGGAAACCACAAGGGGAGAGAGTGGGAGTTGACTGTAGGGAACGTCGTTGGTTGTGTGAAACCTTGGATGTGGAACCAGCATGTCGGGTTCCCCCTTTAGGTGAGGGGCTGTTCACTCGGAGTAGCTCTGCTGGCAGAGAAAACCTCTGGCCGTTGACGTACTCAATCAGCAGAGCCTGACGGCACAGCACACAGGGTTAACAAGTGGAAAGGAACACGCCGTGACGACTAAGAAAAATGCTAAGACTTGAGACATGACCTAAGAAATGACCGTCCGAAGACCATGCGAAGCAACGGCGACGCTTGATCCCGATCCCAAGTGAATTATTCCAAACTGACTTAACGACCTTCGTGCTGTCCATGAGCGGGAGCACCTTGCCTGAGTCTACGCGCTGGATCCGAGTGGGTTGAGGGGTCGCTCCAACGTCACCATCTGCCCTTGTGGATTGTTGGCGTGACAAGGCAAGAACGGTCCCCGGCACATGTCGCCATGGTGGCTTCAGAGCTGTCACTGTGGCATGGTACACTGATGCGAGCGACCTCGAAAGCGCTAGCATCCGTTATACCGGCTGCTGCTATCTATGTGCGAGGGTGATCGTCTAGAAACACTGTTCGTTTTTTAGCATGTACCGAATATATGTTCTAACGCTATGGCTGTTGTAACAAACTACACGCGTTAGAGCGACGAATCAGACGTGTAAGATCACGCAGCCAGGGAACGCAGGTATCCTTCCTTCATTAGGCGCTTAGTAACTCTCACCCAGGTGGCCAAAGGCTAAACAGCTAGGATGAGGGCCTATCCCTACCCTTCGGGTCAATATAATCGTGTTTGAAACTAGCCAGAAAACGACATGAAAAACAATTTGTACTGTACTTCTCAGCTCATGCAAAGGGCAGAATTCGAACTCAGCCCAAGATTCCGTTACAAAACCAGAAGTTCGACTTTGCCAATTGCGAACAAGCCCTAGGTGCGTTTCATACCACCGTTTGAGCAATACACCTCATCAGTACGACTCTATGATGACATCGTTTCTTCCTGCCTTACCGGTTGACAACATTGTAGCGTAGTAATAGTGTAGCGGTACTCTCGGTACCCAAAGCGCGTGGGCAAATCGCGATTCAGCTACTGCTCTAGGTCATCACTCGACGTCCATTTCTTTTACCGCTGTCCTCCTGCTGTCGCTAGGCAAATTCGTCAGAATATCAGCCATCCAGATTCCGGTTTCCAACCTTCTTTATTACTCGCACGCACCGCGCACACACACACACACACACACACTTCCTTAAGCACCCCAATACCCGCTCATGGGATCCCCGAAGCAAGGTTCCGCGCTGCGCCACGGCGGCCACGCGCACTCCGCGCACCACCTGCCCGCCGCAGTGACCAACGCGCGTGCGGCGCTCTTCGCGGCGGGCCTACTAATAGTAACCCTCATCTCCATCCTGGGGTTCAACCTCTCCTCCATGGACCCCCCGGAGCCAACCTCCAGAGCCGCGTGTGGCGGCAACCACGTAGGCCCAGGTGATGCATCGGCGCCTTTAGATCAGGTTCACATGGTGCTTCTCTCAGTGCCACAGCCTGTGCCACTCCCAGTGCCACGGCCAGGGCCGGAGCTGGGCCCGGGTCAGGGTAAGAGTTAGGGTCAGTGTCAGGGTCAGGGTCAGGGTCAGGGTCAGGGTCAGGGTCAGGTTCAGGTTCAGGTCAGGTTCAGGTTCAGGGTCAGGGTAGAGTCTTCCTGTCGCTGCTGCCCCCTCGTCGTGTCCCTGCCACTCTCTCCCCCTGTCCCACCTTGTTTCTACGCCGTATTCATTCATTCCCTGCCCCTGGTGTGAGTGTACATCCATCCATCTATTAGGCACGGAGAGATGGTACCACGACAAGCGCAGCGAGGTGTATGACAAGATGGAGGCGGAGTGCATTCTGAGACTCGTGATTGTGTTCATTCCCTGAACCTTGGTGTACCCGCTCTTGGTGTGTGCTTTTGCAGGCACGGAGAGCCCATATACCACGACAAGCTCAGTGAGGTGTATGACAAGATGGAGGCGGAGTGCATTCTGAGACATCTCACAGTTGTGTTAATTCCCTGCACCTTGGTGTACCCGCTCCTGGTGTGTGCTTTCGCAGGCACGGAGAGCCCATACCACGACAAGCACAGCGATGTGTATGACAAGATGGAGGCGGAGTTCTATGACAAGGGCCATGCGTTATCACTCTTGAGATTTCTCAGAATAGTTAGAAGCAGTTCCATATCCGTTCCCCTTGGTGTGTGTGCATGCTATCAGGCACGGAGAGCCCGTACCACGACAAGCGCAGCGAGGTGTATGATAAGATGGAGGCGGAGTTCTATGACAAGGGGGCTGAGTTCCTCTTTGGCTCCTCCAGCACCACCTCCCAGTCGCTCAAGGTGCGCTGATCCCACAAGGTAGGGATGAGCAGAGGGCGAACTCGAACATGTTCGAGTTCGCCCCCTGTCGAACATGTACTTTTGCCGAACCGAACAGTGTTCGGTTCGGCGAACTATTTTGGCGAAAATATGTGTTCGCCGTTCGCCCTAGGAGGCGAACGATTTTTTTCAGCAGGCGAACACGAACATGTTCGTGTTCGCCCAGGGGAAAATTCAGTATAGTCACACATGTCAGAAAACAGTTTTCAAGGTTCAGGATGATAGCAAAATGTGTGCAGGGTGTATATGTGTGCGTGCAACGAACCCAATAGTACAACATCAAATACTGTGAAGGGAAATGTCAAAGTATAACAAATTCCTACACTAAGGCGCCACTGCTACTACCAACAACAGCATCCTCTCCACCAGCTGTGTCGTCAGCCTCCACACCCTCCTCCTCCTCCTCCTCGTCATCCTCCTCTGCCCCCTCGCCCTCAATGGCGAACTCTGGTGGTGCGACGCCTCTCGGTTGGCGGCCCTCGCCTATCCTCTGGCCAGGGTGTGAACTGTACCATGATCTGAGAATCATGACAGCTCGCGTCCTCTGAGAGGCCAGGCGGTGCCGCTTCCAGGAAATGAGGTTGCGACCAAGGGAGAACACCCGCTCACTCGAAGCGGACGTGGCAGGGATGGCGAGATAATCCCGGGCCATGCGCCTTAGCGTCTGCATGTTGGTGGCACTGCGCCAGTACTCTAGCGCTGTCACGTCGCACCGCACCCTCTCGGACAAGTACCTGCTAACCTCGTCATCCTGCACCATCCCACCCGCCCCCGCATCGTGGCTCGCCGACAGACGCGCCGCAAGTCGTCGGCGACTAGGGAGAAACTGCGCGTCATCGTCGTCCTCCTCCTCGTCTCCCTCCTCCTCCTCCGCAACGGGGGCAAGTGGGGTCGGCCGTGGAGCAAGCTCTGCAGCCCGTGCCTGGTACTCGGCCACGCGGTCGCGCACCAGCTTGATCACCTCGCCAGACGCCGGACGCGGCCTCACCCTCCTGTCGGTCTCGGGATGCAGCTTCTTCCAGTGCGCGTCGTCGAACCACGCCGCCTTCATGGATGGGTCCAAGAAGGTGGCGATCCAGTACTCGTTGCTGGTGATGTAGGCGTACTTCTTCAAGTGGCTCAGCGCCGCCACGATCATCGGCTGCAGCGTCGGAGATGGCCCCTTGGCAAGGCGCGACTCCATGGCGTCGATCAGGCCGTTGTAGTACGGCACCACCATCGACACAGTCGGGTACGCCGCCCCCTCCGCTGCCTTGGAGACCTTGGCGAAGGGGCTTAGGAATGTCTTCACCGCCTGCAGGGTCTCCCAGTCTGCGTCTGTCAGGCGCAGACTCTCCACCTTCTTCTTGTCGGTCTTCGACAGGCCCTGTCGGGTAGAGGGAATGATTTGGGGGGAGGTATGAGGGAAACTGTGATTATGGAGGAGGATTTTGGCATCCGGCCGGCAACATACAAGCTTGACCAACAATATTGTGTAGACGTGCTAACACACCACACCATGACATAACCACACACTACAACAACCCACACAAAACACATGTGTTACCTGTGTCTGGGCGAAGAAGACAGTGATGGGGTTCTGCAGAACAGCCGCACGCTCGACCATGTCGTGGGTCGACCCCCAGCGCGTAGGACTGTCCTGCACCAGCTTCAACGCCGGCTTCGGCGTGGCGGGGTTGGCCTGCAAGTTCAAGGTCCGCTGTAGGCCCAAGAAAGACCCCGAGCGCTGTGGAGAGAAGCCAATCCACGACGCCATCTCTCTCAGTATCTTCAGCAACTTTCGTATGGAATCCACAGCCAGTGCTGCCTGCACTGCAAGGTTTATCACGTGTGCCAAGCACCTGCGCACGGAACAGAACATTAGGGAAAGAGAAAAGGGGAAGTTGGAGGACACATGGTTAGAGCGAGCCACAAAAACCAAACCAGACCCCTCACAACCTACAACTCGAACCGCACCGGCCCACCTCTCCATACAATTACAAATTGTCCATGCTGGAACGACACACCCACAAAGGCAAACACACGCCCACATTCCCGCACGCCCAGCCCACGCACACTCCCACACTCACCGGAAGTGCATGCGCGAGCTGAAGAAGCACTGACCACCACCCTCCTCCGACAACCGCCTGAAGGCGGCAATGTTGCTAGAGGCGTTGTCTGTCGTGAAACCAAGACAACGCCCCTCCAACCCCCACTGCACAACCGTCTCCTCAACCACCTGCGCCATCTCCCTGCCCCCATGCCGCCCGAGCATCTCACGGAACTCAAGCACCATTGTGTGCAGCTAGAAGTTCTCGTCTATCCAGTGACCTGTCACCACTAGCCATGCCTTGTTGTTGGGTGCCGTCCACATGTCGATGGTGATCGACACCTTGCACCCCAGCTCCCCCTCCTTCGCCAACATCTCCGCAATGGTGGACTAGAGAGCCGCTGTTGCATAGACCACGGTGTCGAGGGATACCGTCCAGCGCGAGGGGATGAAGTTCTTCTGCGCGCAGTTGCGGTTTAGCAGGATCAATAGCTCCCGAAACTGGAGGAGGGTAGAGTAGAGACAACGAGGGAGAGGGTTTTCAATGTCAAGGGGATGGTTTTGAGACAAAGTGGCACACGATTACAATAGAAGCATCAAACAGTCAACCACATACTGCCAAATCCCCTTCATACAGCAGGCATGGGACACTCACGGCCTCGGACTCGACGATGCGTAAGGGGAGGTCGCAGGTGACCACCAGCTTGGCGATCGCCTACCGTAGCTCCTCCGTGGACAGCTTGGTTGTCATGAAGAACGGTGTGTGGTGGTTCTTAAAGGGATGAAGCCTATGGTGGTTGAGGGAGGGAGGGCTAACCAACAAAGACGTTTTGAGTTTGAGCTAAAAAAATGAGCTCAAACTCAAATTGGCCGCGACCTAAATTTGGTCGCGGCCAATTTTGACGCGAACACTTTGGTGTTCGCGTCAAGCCCAAAACGAACACGAACACGTTCGTGTTCGTCCACACTCCGCCAAATGGAGGTGGCGAACGGCGAACATGTTCGGCCGAACACCGAACATGTTCGCCTCGAACATGTTCGAGGCGAACCGAACAGGTGTTCGAGATCTTGCTCATGTCTACCGCAAGGTTCTAGCATGTGAAACAATTGAGGCCATCTGCTCTGCACTAGTCACTGCTTTGAGTCCCTCGTTGGCTCCTCGCCTTGGCAGTTGCTCAAGGTGCGACCGTCCCACTCGTGAGCATGCACCCACTCCTTCCTGCCCCAGAAGGCTTTAAAAGCTGCTGCAGTACCACCTTGCAGTTTCTCATTTTTTGTCCCACCCACTCACCCATCTGCTCGCCCTCCTTTGAATCCGCACTCGCGCATTGATCCACCGACTAATTGCATTCCTTAACTCTTTCGATTGCATTGTTTAAGGCCATCTGCAATATTCACTACTTGGTCTACTCTTTGGTAAAGCCACTTCCTCACACCTCACACGTGTGTCTAATGGCATAACACTTGTGTTGTGTGCGCACATACAACCAAGCGCATATGTTGGCTTACAAGCAACACGGCTACGTGTAGAAAGTAGATTTTTGAGACGTCTCGTGTAGAAAGTAGATTTTTGAGATGTCTCGTGTAGAAAGTAGATTTTTGAGATGTCTCAAAAATCTACTTTCTACATGTGGCTTACAAGCAGCACGGCTCTTGCTTGGTGTTGGCCTTTGCTTGACTCACCCTTTTGAGGCGCCTCAAATGTTGGCCTTTGCTTGACTCACCCTTTTGAGGCGCCTCAAATGTTGGCCTTTGCTTGACTCACCCTTTTGAGGCGCCTCAAATGTTGGCCTTTGCTTGACTCACCCTTTTGAGGCGCCTCAAATGTTGGCCTTTGCTTGACTCACCCTTTTGAGGCGCCTCAAATGTTGGCCTTTGCTTGACTCACCCTTTTGAGGCGCCTCAAATGTTGGCCTTTGCTTGACTCACCCTTTTGAGGCGCCTCAAATGTTGGCCTTTGCTTGACTCACCCTTTTGAGGCGCCTCAAATGTTGGCCTTTGCTTGACTCACCCTTTTGAGGCGCCTCAAATGTTGGCCTTTGCTTGACTCACCCTTTTGAGGCGCCTCAAATGTTGGCCTTTGCTTGACTCACCCTTTTGAGGCGCCTCAAATGTTGGCCTTTGCTTGACTCACCCTTTTGAGGCGCCTCAAATGTTGGCCTTTGCTTGACTCACCCTTTTGAGGCGCCTCAAATGTTGGCCTTTGCTTGACTCACCCTTTTGAGGCGCCTCAAATGTTGGCCTTTGCTTGACTCACCCTTTTGAGGCGCCTCAAATGTTGGCCTTTGCTTGACTCACCCTTTTGAGGCGCCTCAAATGTTGGCCTTTGCTTGACTCACCCTTTTGAGGCGCCTCAAATGTTGGCCTTTGCTTGACTCACCCTTTTGAGGCGCCTCAAATGTTGGCCTTTGCTTGACTCACCCTTTTGAGGCGCCTCAAATGTTGGCCTTTGCTTGACTCACCCTTTTGAGGCGCCTCAAATGTTGGCCTTTGCTTGACTCACCCTTTTGAGGCGCCTCAAATGTTGGCCTTTGCTTGACTCACCCTTTTGAGGCGCCTCAAATGTTGGGCCTCAATGTTGGCCTTGACTCACCCTTTTGAGGCGCCTCAAATGTTGGCCTTTGCTTGACTCACCCTTTTGAGGCGCCTCAAATGTTGGCCTTTGCTTGACTCACCCTTTTGAGGCGCCTCAAATGTTGGCCTTTGCTTGACTCACCCTTTTGAGGCGCCTCAAATGTTGGCCTTTGCTTGACTCACCCTTTTGAGGCGCCTCAAATGTTGGCCTTTGCTTGACTCACCCTTTTGAGGCGCCTCAAATGTTGGCCTTTGCTTGACTCACCCTTTTGAGGCGCCTCAAATGTTGGCCTTTGCTTGACTCACCCTTTTGAGGCGCCTCAAATGTTGGCCTTTGCTTGACTCACCCTTTTGAGGCGCCTCAAATGTTGGCCTTTGCTTGACTCACCCTTTTGAGGCGCCTCAAATGTTGGCCTTTGCTTGACTCACCCTTTTGAGGCGCCTCAAATGTTGGCCTTTGCTTGACTCACCCTTTTGAGGCGCCTCAAATGTTGGCCTTTGCTTGACTCACCCTTTTGAGGCGCCTCAAATGTTGGCCTTTGCTTGACTCACCCTTTTGAGGCGCCTCAAATGTTGGCCTTTGCTTGACTCACCCTTTTGAGGCGCCTCAAATGTTGGCCTTTGCTTGACTCACCCTTTTGAGGCGCCTCAAATGTTGGCCTTTGCTTGACTCACCCTTTTGAGGCGCCTCAAATGTTGGCCTTTGCTTGACTCACCCTTTTGAGGCGCCTCAAATGTTGGCCTTTGCTTGACTCACCCTTTTGAGGCGCCTCAAATGTTGGCCTTTGCTTGACTCACCCTTTTGAGGCGCCTCAAATGTTGGCCTTTGCTTGACTCACCCTTTTGAGGCGCCTCAAATGTTGGCCTTTGCTTGACTCACCCTTTTGAGGCGCCTCAAATGTTGGCCTTTGCTTGACTCACCCTTTTGAGGCGCCTCAAATGTTGGCCTTTGCTTGACTCACCCTTTTGAGGCGCCTCAAATGTTGGCCTTTGCTTGACTCACCCTTTTGAGGCGCCTCAAATGTTGGCCTTTGCTTGACTCACCCTTTTGAGGCGCCTCAAATGTTGGCCTTTGCTTGACTCACCCTTTTGAGGCGCCTCAAATGTTGGCCTTTGCTTGACTCACCCTTTTGAGGCGCCTCAAATGTTGGCCTTTGCTTGACTCACCCTTTTGAGGCGCCTCAAATGTTGGCCTTTGCTTGACTCACCCTTTTGAGGCGCCTCAAATGTTGGCCTTTGCTTGACTCACCCTTTTGAGGCGCCTCAAATGTTGGCCTTTGCTTGACTCACCCTTTTGAGGCGCCTCAAATGTTGGCCTTTGCTTGACTCACCCTTTTGAGGCGCCTCAAATGTTGGCCTTTGCTTGACTCACCCTTTTGAGGCGCCTCAAATGTTGGCCTTTGCTTGACTCACCCTTTTGAGGCGCCTCAAATGTTGGCCTTTGCTTGACTCACCCTTTTGAGGCGCCTCAAATGTTGGCCTTTGCTTGACTCACCCTTTTGAGGCGCCTCAAATGTTGGCCTTTGCTTGACTCACCCTTTTGAGGCGCCTCAAATGTTGGCCTTTGCTTGACTCACCCTTTTGAGGCGCCTCAAATGTTGGCCTTTGCTTGACTCACCCTTTTGAGGCGCCTCAAATGTTGGCCTTTGCTTGACTCACCCTTTTGAGGCGCCTCAAATGTTGGCCTTTGCTTGACTCACCCTTTTGAGGCGCCTCAAATGCTGGCCTTTGCTTGACTCACCCTTTTGAGGCGCCTCAAATGTTGGCCTTTGCTTGACTCACCCTTTTGAGGCGCCTCAAATGTTGGCCTTTGCTTGACTCACCCTTTTGAGGCGCCTCAAATGTTGGCCTTTGCTTGACTCACCCTTTTGAGGCGCCTCAAATGTTGGCCTTTGCTTGACTCACCCTTTTGAGGCGCCTCAAATGTTGGCCTTTGCTTGACTCACCCTTTTGAGGCGCCTCAAATGTTGGCCTTTGCTTGACTCACCCTTTTGAGGCGCCTCAAATGCTGGCCTTTGCTTGACTCACCCTTTTGAGGCGCCTCAAATGTTGGCCTTTGCTTGACTCACCCTTTTGAGGCGCCTCAAATGTTGGCCTTTGCTTGACTCACCCTTTTGAGGCGCCTCAAATGTTGGCCTTTGCTTGACTCACCCTTTTGAGGCGCCTCAAATGTTGGCCTTTGCTTGACTCACCCTTTTGAGGCGCCTCAAATGTTGGCCTTTGCTTGACTCACCCTTTTGAGGCGCCTCAAATGTTGGCCTTTGCTTGACTCACCCTTTTGAGGCGCCTCAAATGTTGGCCTTTGCTTGACTCACCCTTTTGAGGCGCCTCAAATGTTGGCCTTTGCTTGACTCACCCTTTTGAGGCGCCTCAAATGTTGGCCTTTGCTTGACTCACCCTTTTGAGGCGCCTCAAATGTTGGCCTTTGCTTGACTCACCCTTTTGAGGCGCCTCAAATGTTGGCCTTTGCTTGACTCACCCTTTTGAGGCGCCTCAAATGTTGGCCTTTGCTTGACTCACCCTTTTGAGGCGCCTCAAATGCTGGCCTTTGCTTGACTCACCCTTTTGAGGCGCCTCAAATGTTGGCCTTTGCTTGACTCACCCTTTTGAGGCGCCTCAAATGTTGGCCTTTGCTTGACTCACCCTTTTGAGGCGCCTCAAATGTTGGCCTT